GCCGCCATGTTGGATCCCTTGTTTTGTTTTTATTTTTGCTTTTTGGTACTGGGGATTGAACTCAGGAGCACTCGACCATGATGCCACATCCCCAACACTATTTTGTGTTTTATTTAGAGACAGGGTCTCACTGAGCTGCTTAGCGTCTCGCTTTTGCTGAGGCTGGCTTTGAACTCACAGTCCTCCTGTCCCAGCCTCCTGAGATGCTGGGATTATAAGCATGCACCACTGTACCCAACTGCAGTAGTGTTTTGAAAGAGGTCTTTTCAAAGTAAAAAAGGAGTCCAATGGAGAAGATCTTAGGAATGAAGGAGGCCAGTGAGATGGGCCCAGTTTCTATCAATATTACCAGAAACAAGCTCTTGCTCTCATTTGCAGAGCCCAGGAGATATTTTTCTCAGCTGACAAGCTGAAATAAATAATTAGTGTTTTCTTTGTAAAAATCCCATTATTAAGAGAGATCTTGGGCTTTATCTTTTAACAAATCAAAAGGGGAAATTTAGAAATAAAAAGAGACAGATCAACCAGTTAAAATGCATTAAAATATATTAAACATATTAAAATGCACAGGCCTAATTATTTACACCCTGATATAAAACAAAACAAAACAAAATTTTGTGGGATCATCAGGGAAATATGAATACTAATTTGAGTGATGGTAGAAAAAAAATTGTGGGTAACACTTTTTAGGTAAACAATGGAATTTTAGTTTTGTTTCTAAAAGTTGTTTTTAGATACACAGATTTATGGATGAAATTATTTGATGTCTGGCATTTGCCACTATATAGTAGGATGAGAAAGGGCATAAAACTTTGACATAATATCTGATTCTTAAAGGAAAATTGCTCCTGGAGTTCATTATTATGCATGACTCTGAATTTTCACTTTAGAGTGATGCTCTGGGGAACATTCCTGGAGCTTCCTTTTCAAGTGTTTGGAGCATGCTCCTAACCAAGGTAACAAGAACAGGAAAAGAGCCTTCATAACTTTTTACTCTTTGGTTTGGAAATTGCCTTATGCCGTGTGCTTCCTTTTCCTCTGTCCATGTCTTTCCCAGCTTCTGTCTAAATTGGCTTTATTCTTGTCTCCTTCTTTTTTCCTGGTGTTAATTCCAGTGGTGGATCTAACTGAGTGCTGGCACTTCCTTGGTATGCTGTTTCCAACATGCAGTTCTTTATCTCTGCATATACCATGACCATAGCCAAGTGGCACCATGTCCCCCAAACTCGCCAAGCCTCCTGGACACAACACTTCAACAGAAGTTCTCAAAGCCCATGTCTGTTTGAGGAGATGGAGAGAAAATTGGTCATCTACACAGTTTTCACATCTGATGATCAGAATTGGAAGAGAAAGGTGAAATTATGGATGCATGACAATTCTACCAAAGAGTTGATGAGCAATATTATAAATTCCATACAAAACAATCTTGGAAAGTACTAATTAAACTCACTTTCTATTTATACATTGAATTTCATCAGAATGCTATAAATTGTGATAATTTAGATAACACTTCAAATAATGTAATAATTTTCAAACTACAGGTCATGTCCCTGTAATGGGTTGTGAAATTAATTCAACAGGCAGAAAAAAAGGCTTTTAAAATCCATTAGAGTAGGCCAGAATGGAACGGAATAAAATTAAAATATTGAAGTAAATGATAAATAGTTACAGTGAATATATTTTTGTAGAACTTTTTCAGTTTTTCTAAGTAATGTGTGTGTGCACACTTGCATGTGTGCAAGCTATGTCATTAATTTGAAATTAATTTCTTATTGTAGCTAATGCTGGGAAAAAAGGTCTGAAAACCTCTAGGTAATGAATTTCTATATATAATCATCAAAAATCAAAAGGATTCAGAGCAAAAAAAAAGATAACTGAATGAAAATTTATTTCCAATCGAAATCTTAATAATTAACTGGTCACCTAATTCGGAGAATTAAATTGCACCAACCAGCCAGAAATCAGAATTAACTGGACAGAAGGAGTAGGTTGCTAGGTGTCACCTGATTTGCTGTTGTGTTTTCATGTGCCTTTGCTTACTCTGCTTTCCTGCTGATTTTTAAAAAGGCCATATACATTTTTGTTACTTGGTGACTGTGATTTTTCAGATTGCAATTTATCTCTTTCTAGATGCAACCAGAATGCTACTAGCCAACAGAAGGAAGACTGAGGTTGTGCCCCACAGGCCCAACTGAAGAACTATCCAAGCTGTGCACAAAGCTTATGTCATGGTAAGAACAAGGTAAGATGACATTCGTCATTAGACTCAAGTTGTAACACCCAGGGCTCCTGCAAGGTTGTCTGTATGCCAAGGCCATATTTGGTCATAGAATGTGTGCCCTTTAAAATCCCAGTAGGTACACACCTACAAATTCTCAGCTAATGAAAGGTTCATTTATTCTTGAAGCCCTAGAGTGGAGAAAACAATTTCCCCTGCCAAATATTTCTTTTATATAAAACTTTAAATAAGAACTAAAAGCTTTCATGGTGCCTAAAAATTCAGTTTTTTTTAAATGCAAATCCTCATAAAAATCAATGACACAGACTCTCTTTTAAGAGTCCTTTCAGAATGGATTTGCATGTACTCATCCCTTTATACAATGAGGTTAACCCAGAGATGGGAGTGTAGGGGGGTATAGTTCACTGGTAGAGCAAGTGCTTAGCATGTGCAAGGCCCTGGGTTCAATACCCAGCATCACATTTAAAAAAAAAAAAAGGATTAATTCCCAACTGGAAAGGCACTTTGGAGTGTGTAATTCAGATGAAAAATCTTTATCAATATGGCATGATCATTTGGAAAATGCAGTATTCAAAATCTGACTGAAAGGTTTAAGAGAAATTAAATATGAAAGTCTTTAAAAGGGGTAGAGTGTAGAATACAGTTGCATACAAATTATTAAAATGTAAATTATATTTATCAGATGGCTTCACCCTGTGATCTTATTGGTAGCAAGTCCCTGTGCATGAAAGAGGCAAGCCTACCATAGAGAAGGCAGAATACAGAGAACTTGGCATGGTTCCTCTGAGCAGCCACAAGTGATTCATCAGGGGCACAGCTGGGGCCCCAGGCAGATGGGCGAGAACACAGCAATGTGGGCACTGTGGGTTCCCAGGACCACAGAGATCCATAGCTCCAACTCATCTCTGACATAAACCAGGACCTTGCCAGGCTGTCATTTCCGGGAGGGCAGAGTCTGCTCATGTTCATGTTCTTGCCTAGCTGCAAATTTCAAATGAGATGACAAGAATGACATCTGGAAACATTTCCTGGCAAAGAGGGCATTTCTTCTCTCATTTCTCGGGACTTGTTCTCTGCTTACCTCTATCTGCTCCAGCTTCACACTGGAAGAGCCTGGTAAGGGCATTCAAATCCACCCTTCCTACTTGCTTATTATGTGGATTGGAGGAAATCATTGGCCTCTAAGCCTGTTTCTCTAGGAAGAGAATATAAAGAGGGAAATAATAACTTAACTTACAGGGTTGTATGAGGATTGGGATAATCCTGAACACAGTTGTGACAACCAAAAATGACTCCAGATATTGCCAAATGTTCCCCATGGGGCAAAATCACTCCTGAATAACTATGACTTTCTCTCTCTCTCTCTCTCTCCCCCCCGCCCCCCCCTCCCATTTTGGGCTGACAAACTGTCATATTAGGAACAGTGCAAATGGCCTTTAAAAGGGTGATTAAGTTAGAGATAAGACCAAGAAGAAATTTAGGCACATAAAAAGACACCAGGGCTGTGCCTGCAGGGCAATGACCATGTAAAACCAAGCAGAGAGGCCCCAGAGGAAACCAACCCTTTATTTTGGACTTTTTCCCTCCAGAAGTATGAGAAAATAAACCTCTGCTTTTAAAGCAAGCCAGTCTGAGGTACTCTGTTTTGGCCATTGAAGCAAATAAATACATGACTAATTGAGGTGTCCTGACGGTGATGAATTTAAAAGGCTACCATGTTCATAGGGCACACACAAGGCTTCTTCAGGACCTCAGAGGAAGTCTTTCCCAGGGCACAGGTCTTTGGCATGGTAAATATGCAGGAGTTCAACCCTCTCTCAGTTCCTACACTTAACAGTTTACACCCTTGGTTCTGGGGATCTTTTCCCTTGTGGCCAAGCCCCTGGGTAGGGTACCCAGCAGGGTGTCCTGAGTCCAGCCATATTCCAATTATTATTTCACTACAGGAAACCCACTTATCTATTCCCCAGAGTACGTGGGCAGACTCCTGTATGCTGTGGCCTCTTTGCCTAGCTCTCTGTTTCTGTGTCTCTGTCTCTATCTCTCTGGCTGCCTCTCTCTCTCCCCCTCTCTCCTGCTCAAATTAGATGCAGAGGGCATAAATAGTTCTACTAAACAAGCAGGTATTGAGCAGAGAAGAAAATGTGAGGATCCCCTTCTTGTCTGTACCTCTGCCTGCTTCCTTTTTCTTATTTCTCTTTAGGGATAGTCCCCTGTGAGGACAGAATGGGAAGCTCCTGTATTCCTCACAAGGCTGACATCTCAGGACTCAGAATTCTCTTTGAACTTTTGATTTTCACAGTGGTCTGCATATATATATACATGGATCAGAGGGAATGATGAGCAGCTAGCTGGGTAGCTGAGCCCACCACATCAGCCCCAGGTGCTATAGGTGGTGACCTTTAGAATATGGATGACTTATCACCTCTAACTCCAGCCAGTTCTGGAACAACAGCAAAAAAAAATATGTCCTGTTCAACATCCTACTATAGGTCATTAACTTAAAATACTTAATGACTGGCCTAGTATGAAAACACTGTAATTTGTTTAACTAGAGCTTTGCTGAAAACCTGGATCCAGGTTCTTACTACTACTTTAGTGAACATCTTCTTAGTATTTTTGTGAATATGCAAGTGTTTGTAAGTGTGGCTCTGTGTGTGTCGCTGTATGTGTGTGTGTTTCAAGGGCTAAATTTTAGATCTAAAACTGTCGGGGCAAAATAGCATAATTTTTAAAAGTTATTCTATACTCTTACTTTTACATTATCATAAAATAAAGTTGACTTTTTTATTTTGGTGAGCAATTCTATGAATTTTAATACCTGATAGATTCATGTAACCTCCACTATAGTCAGGCTACAGAGTTATCCATTGCCCCCATCCCTAAAATTTCTTCATGATGTCTGATATTGACCTTTTTCCTCCCACCCACAACCCTTGACACCATTGAACCATTCTACCATAAGTTTTAATGATAATAATCTTCTATCTGTTCAGTGTGAATGATTGACAAAGTAATGATTACTCTGTCATAAATAGGTTTAAGATACCAATTGCTAGGTCTGTTAACTAAGATTATATTCCATGTAATTAACCCTAATGAGATGATAAACTATTTTAAAAATTTCTTTTTCAAAAACATTTCTGTAGAATAGTTTTCAAAACACTCCAAACTTAAGAAAGGTAAGGCTTATCAGCACAGAAGATTCTATCATCCTATGTAATTCTGTGTATTTTTAGAAACATTTATGAACTAAATCATAAACTAACCTCTAAGTACTGCTTAAATAAGAAGACATCCTTATTCACATTCCCCACCTTAGGATATAGAATATTATGAACCACCAGCACCCTGTATTTGTATCTCCTAGACCCAAGGGTATCTACCCCTGCAAGCCAATGTTCTTTGAATTCCACTTAATGTTGGGAGGGGAAGAGAATTGGTTTTCTTCACATGGAAAACCGAATTATTCTGTGCAAAATGGAATAATGGTAGGCAAAATCCCAAAGGTATTCATATCCTAACCCCTAGGACTTGTGATGAAAGAGTCTTTGCAGATGTGATTAAATTAAGAAACCATGGGTAGGGGGAGATTATCCTAGACTATTAAGGGCAGTCCAGTGTGCTCACAGAAGTATAGGAGGCAGGCAAGAGGGTCAGCATCAGGCAAGGAGATGTGATCATGGAATCAGAGTTTTCAGTGATGTGAGGAAGAGGCCAGGAACCAAGGAATGCAGGCTGCACATATTCGTGTTGTTTTAAGCTACTAAGTTTGTTATAGCAGTGATAGGAAAGTAGATACTCTTTCCTGAGTTTTCAAAAGTGACTTATTGAATGTTCTACATATAATATGAAATCTAAACATTTTAAATTTAATGTCATTTTGAACTTTCAGAAAAGTCATGAGACTAGTAGAACACCTCTATTTTATTTACACATATTCACCAAATGTCAATATTTTGTTTGCTTTATCATTTGCTATTGTACTCTGTATTTTTCTCTAAACCATTTGAAAGTAACTTAAGGATATTATGATTATTTAGCTATAAATTATTTCATGTGCACTTCCTAAAAGGAAATTCTCTTACATAATCATACTACAATGATCAAAATCACAAACTGTAACTTTGATATATATTGTAACCAAAAGTAGATTTTTTTTAAAGGAGGGTGGGTACCAGGGATTGAACTCAGGGGCACTCGACCACTGAACCACATTCCCAGCCCTATTTTGTATTTTATTTAGAGACAGAGTCTCACTGAGTTGCTTAGCACCTCACTGTTGCTGAGGCTGGCTTTGAACTTGAGATCCTCCTGCCTCAGCCTCCTGAGCCTCTGTGGTTACAGGTGTGCATCACCTTACCTGGCCTAAAGTAGATTTAAGTTGCTCTAGTTGTCTCAATAATCTTTTTGATAGTTATTCTTTTTCCTAGCCCAGGATCTACTCCGGGAGCATGCGCTGCATAGAGTTGTCACATCACTATAGTCTTTTGTAATCTCAGCAGTTTCTTCATCTCCAATCTTTCACATGAAAGAAAAAACAGTTTTTGACTGTTGTGAAAAAGTAAAGTCTAGTTATTTTATAAGACATTTAAAATTTTACTTTGTCGGAAGTTTTCTCACAGTAAGATTCAGGTTTACATTTTTGGCACAAACACCACAGAGATGGTGTATCTACTCTGTGTGTCTATCAGGAGGTGTGCCAGGTCAACTACTCCCATTATTAATCCATCTTCCCCTCAGTAATTTGTAAGGGAAGTACTTTGAGATTAGCTTTTCTACAGTGTTAGCTTTTCATTGCTGTGACCAAAGCATCTGACAAGAATAACTTAAAGAAGGAAAAGTTTATTTAAGGCTTACAGTTTCAGAGATTCAGTCCATGTTTGGTCTACTCCATTGCTCTGGCCCTGAGATGAGGCCGACCATCATGGTGGAAGAGTGTAGCAGAGGAAAGCTGCTCAGCTCGTGGCAGCCAGGAGGCAAAAAGAGAGGGAGAGGGAGAGAGGGGGCAGGCATTCAGGGGAGAAGAGAGGAAAGAAATGGAGAGGAGAGGAGAGAGAAGCCAAGGACAAAATATAATCCTCAAGGGCATGTCCCTAGTGATATTTCCTCCAGCCCCACTGCACCTGGCTATAGGTACCGCCCAGTAATCCATTCACATTATTAATCCATCAAATGGATTAATCCACCAGTTAGATTACAGTTCTCATAATCTAATCATTTCACCTCTGAGCATTCCTGCATTGCCTAACGTGAGCTTTTCAGGGGATACGTCATACCCAAATCAGAGCATCAACCAATCCCCATGCACCACAGTGGCAATTCTAGACTCTGCTCTTCAGTTTTGAATTCTCTTTAACGTTGAGAAACCTGGCTTCCTCTATGTCATAGAATATTTTAATCTATTTGAAATGTTCTTCTTGTCACTATTTTCTAATTACTTAAAATTCAGTATCATAATTCATTCACGGTTCCCCATGAATGAAGGTAAGTTATCTACACTTAATTACAAAATCTCATTCAATTTGTGTTTAAAGGTTCTTTATTGGACTTTCAGGTTGTTGAAATGTTTCCCACTTTTCTGTAATGTTATCTTCAGTCTTATTTTGTGATTATTTGTCAAGAGGGAAGAGACAACTTACTGGAATGTATATAAAAAGTATACATTTTAGATAATAAAATAAATTACTTTTTCATTTAAGAATTTCAACCGACTACAGGCATTCTTATCATTCTGCAGGTCCCAGGTTTGGTGGCGAAACTATGGTTATTTGAGTCCCAGAGAACACCACCGTGGTCAAGTTTTTTTTCCTTTGGACTTCAGTGGGAACCTGAGTTAACTGACATAAATTTCTAACAGGTTCTAGTGATGTCTTAGCAGCTCTTATTGTTTTCTGTCTCAGGCCTACATTTTCAGCTAACACAGAGTTCAAATTGGGTCATGTTTGGGAAGAACTGATTTTTTCCTAAAGGATTATTCTATACCAATTGGCAATTTTCATTTCCTGGAGATGAAAATTTTAAAATCAGAATTCACTACTTGGTATGGTAATCTAGCTTGACTTCATCAGGGACAGAAAAGTTGAGGAACAGAGAGGTCATGATAAAATTATACCTGTGAAGAATCTCTCAGTGATAGGAAGAATTGTTTTTCTTAGAGCAACCTGTAGAATAGAGGAGAGGCAAGGTACAATATCAATTGCACTGTGAACTCAAACGACAGCAGAGAAGATTAATAAGGATATCTGACATGCATTCCTAGGAAAAAGCAGAATGGTTATCCATGTGGACTTGGCCCTAGAATGTCTTTGATTTGAATCCTAGCATTGGCATTTATTTTAGATTACAGTTCTTATAATCTAATCATTTCAATCTAATTATTGAATGACTGGCCAACTTACTTTTTAAAATTTAGTTCCCATCTCTATAAATAATGAAGATTCTTATATTATCTGTGTATTGTGAAGATTTCTTAATGCATGTGCCAAACTGAGTAAATGTTAACTGATGATAAGCCCATAGAGTCTAACCACTAAAGAGTTTAACTTGTCAATTCTTAGTTTTATGAGTATTAAGGGAAAGGGTCAAAAGTGATCACATTTTAATTGGCAGGCTGTATTTTGAAACAACAGTATCATATTTTGTAACCAACTGCATGAGTTGGTAGATTGTATGAACTCCCTATTGGTGATTATGGAGCTACTGAAGAAAGTTTGTCACTTCAGTATGGCAATGTACTTAACTGTGATTTTATCCCAGCACAAGGTGAACAAAACCTACTATGGTAAGTATATGATTGCCTTTTAAAATCACTATCAGTGGTTAGAAGGCACATAAATGCAAATCAGAGTCCTTGCTGCCCCATCCCCAATAAACTGGATTCTGTAGTGCTCTAGATTGGAGGATTGTTCTTGCTATTGGCCATGATTGTTAGGCTGGTTTCTAGCTTAATCCCTGAGCTTAGTTTTTCCTGTATATTCTCAAATTCTGACTTCTGCAAGTGGCATCCACTCATGACCTCTGAAGCCTCAGGGCTCACTGGGCCTAGAACATCAAACATATTCAAAAGGATCCTGGGATTTGTACCTCTCCAGGAGACATCCAGGGAGGATAAAGTTTGGTTGGAGGGGACTTCTGAATTAACAGGACCTCCTCAGGCCCTGTATAGGGTGGGATCAGACCACAAGATGGAGGAATGGCTTTACTCCAAGATTGATACGGAGCTTAGGACCTGGAACTTGATTCATTATGCCTCCCTTGGCTCCCTGCTACCTAAATTTTAACTTCCTCACCAAATCAGTCAGTTATAAAAAGCAGATTCAGCTCTAGCCCACATCTGAGTACTGAGACATTATCATCTATGCTTGGCAAAAACAGAAGCGTGAAATGTGAGTCAGTTGTTTTATTCCATTTCCTAGTGGAGAGATGCAGTTTCTCATCCCGTGTGAATCCAGTCATTCAGGAAGAAACTCTCCCAAAGAATTATTCAGATAGTGATTGTGGCTGCTCCTAATTAGACACAGGCTGACTCAGGAGGCAGGGACCTGATGGGGCTGTTGCGCTGTAGCACAGCTGGCTGTTCTTGGCCATCTCACCAGGCTGGCCTATTACTCGGTCTCCTAGCACCTGTACCTCTTCCCCCAGCAAATGATCACAATTATAATTACTATCTATTTAAGTGTACCAAACCAGTTTTCAATATCACAAATCCCCCACTCCTGCCCCGCAATCCTCATGGTGGATTCCAGCTGTTGGAGTGCTTGTCTCTGCCAAAGCCTGAGATACTGCAGCCAGCAAGGCTGAAAGGAGACTCAGCAAAGCTGAACTGCTCACCAGGTTGGGGATAGGAAAATGTAAGTTCCAGAGAGAGGAGGGGAACAGGAAGAAGAGGACATATGACTGAAAGGTTCCAGAACAGTGTTCAGGGCAGAAAAGAATTCAAGATGGAAATCAGATACATCCTAAGGGAATTTCGTGGGTTTTGCTGAGTTGTTCCATTTTACTGAGATTTTAAGTAGGAGTTTTTTTTATAAGATTTCTATAGTGTTACAGGCAACCGAGCCAAGGGAACTTGCCTGGATCCCAGCTACTGGTTTCAGCCACCCACCTGCATAAGAAATAGGCAAATGATAAAAATAGGTTAGTCGTTTCCCTATTTCCATCATTTGTCTATTTTTTTTATGTGAGTGAGTCGAGATCTAGGCAGGTCCTCTTGACTCAGCTGCAGATAACAGGAGATTTTTGTCAGATTTTGTATGGGAGTTTCCTATACAAAATCTTGGTCAACACCTTTGCTGCCAACAAGCTGTTGGCGTGAAACTGATGATCTGTTCTTGGAAATGAGAGAACGCTGTGTCCTGCAGCAAAGTTAGCAGGAGATGAAAAAAAGAGGCCCCTTGTGGGGAAAGTGACGTCTGAGTTACTTGTGTAATTACAGTATTCATTTCATGTTGGTTTCCCTGTCTTTCTATGAGCCACATGAGGATTGGGACTGTCTCTTGTTAGTATATCTCCAGTGTCTAGCACAGAGAAGGTACATAATAGGTGCTCAAATATTTGTTGGATGAATCTATAAATGAAATGATTTGACTCAACAATTTCTGATCTCCAACTGAGTGGAAGTCAAAAAGAAAATGTTCCTTTGCCCAGGATCCTCAGGGGACATTAGGAAGCTGATGATTTGGCGAATGGTAGGTCTGACAGCAGCAAATTTTAGGGCAATGCTTTCACAAGGACACTCTTTAGCCCTAATGAGGTGGTTCTGTGGGCTGACAACATAGCTGGAACACTGTACATGGGAAATAATATGGGCCATCAAGATAGCTATGGAGGAGGCCAATCTTCTTTCCATAAATATTAAAGTCACAACATTGCTAGGTATTTTGCATGCTGATTTATAAGGCTCTACTTGAAGACATTCATATGTTCTTTCCCTGTTTACCCTCTGGGAACTCCCATTGTAAAGAGGAATTGAACTCCTGTTGTACTCAGTCACGACACTTAGGAAGAAATACAAAATATTGTAGTTGCAACAACCTTCATTTTTTTCCCTTTAGGTTAAAATGAAACATATTAAATTGAGAAGGAAACTTTACAGGCTTTGTGGTATCAATAAAAGAAAATGGTAATTTGAACCAGAAATGTGGGTTGAAATACCAGCTCAACCACTTAACCAGCTACATAAAGTTGGAGAAGTAAATTAAATGCTTGGAGCTTCAGTTTCCTCATCTGCAAATAGGAACATTAACATAATGTATATATGTGACATTTTGATGAGAAATAGCTTTGATGTAACTTCTTTGGTTTACCCATTTTCATATGACTAATTTTTACATTAAATTTTCAAGCAAAACACACATAAGAATTCTTAATATATTCTTGTCACACTGTAAGGCTGTCCCAGTGTCTTAGTCTATTTTGTGCTGCTATAACAAAAATACTTGAGAATTGGTAATTTATAATGAACATGAATTTTTGGAGGGCTGGGAACTCCAAGATCAAGGGTCTAACATTTGGAGATGACCTTCTTGCAGAAGGTGGAAGGACAAGGGAGAGGGAGAGAGAAAAAAAGGGAGTGGAATAAAGAACAAATAAAGGGGGTCTAATGCCCCCTTTTATAATGACTCCACTCCTGTGATACTTGAGTCTCATGATGAGTCCATTAATTCACTCACTCTGTCTCCGTGGCCTAATCACCCCCCATTAGGCCTCACCTTCAAGAATATTGCACTGGGGATTAGGTTCCCACACATGCTTTCTGAGAGACACATTCAAGTTATGGCACCCAGGACAGAAAATTAGGAGTCAAAGATGGATTGAAAGTTAGTTGTTTCTATTAAGTACAGACCTTGATAATTAAGGGGAAAAAATTATCACTGAAAAACAACAACCACAACAAAAAAAATAGCATCAACTTTCATATACCTGATTAGTGACATTTACATGAGTTGAGGTGCTTTGCTTAGGGAAATATGTTGAAGGACTTTTGGGGAGTGAGCTTGGTCTGGAAGGAGAGAAAGAGACAGAAAAAGAAAAGGCTGATTTTTTTTTTTGAAAAATAAATAAGAGATAATGTGGGATTTGTTAGGAGCAATCTAGAAGAAGGAAAGCAAATGGCTCAGATGTTAGAAAAGGGGAAGACAGGAGAGACCCAAGATGGCGATAAATTGAATTCTAAATAGGAAAAATAGGTGAGAAATCCATGGTGGCAGAGAAAAGGCAGCCTAGGCAGTCTAGAGTGTTCCAAGTCTTTATTTTAATAACTGATTTTGTTTTGTATAAGTTCTCAATTTCTGAAAGAAACCAATAAAAAGAATAGACTGTATAAAACCAATAATAGTTCAAATGTAGGTAATAGCCTTTCTCTAAAGAGAAAGACATACTTTCTTAATCTGCAATATTTCTTCTTATTTACAGTTTTGCTCTCATCTGTCTAGGTGTGGCTTTTGCTTTGCTTATTCCAGACTCAATATGTTCCATGATTCTGAGGATTTATGTCTTCAATTCTGAAAAATTCTCAAGACTATCTCTTTTCCAGATTCATTCTATTCTTTCTACTTTGTCTTTATGGAACTCCCAACAGGCAATATTGGACTTTATCTGAGATCTGAGGTTCCAGAAAATAGAAATAATGAAGAAATCTCCCCTATCTTTTGTGTTTGACAAGCAGTAAATCTCAAAGGACCATCCTGTCGTTATATAGTCCTACATGAGACACATCCTATCCTTACACATGACTCTCATGAGACTCTTGGAGACCTTCTTGTTTACCCAATGCTACAAACTCCAGGCCCCCTCATTAAAGAACATTTATCTATTGTAAGCCTAAATAAACTTATCTCCCTGATTTTCTGTTATACTTTGAGTTGTCATGTTAGACATGCCAGATACATAAATGATTAACATTTGCCCTCATTTCTCCATATTTCTACTTCTATTTTATAATTTCTACCTCTTTATCTTTCTGTCCTGTATTATCAGTAATTTATTCAGATTTATCTACCAATTCACTAATTCTCCATTCAGTGTCTAACCTGATGTTTAGACAGGATTTCATTTCTAAAAGTTCTATTTGTTCTTAGTCTCTCCCTTTCTCTCTGCCTATTCTTACAGACCATTGTGTTCTTTCATTATGATGTCTTTATTTAAAATATATATCCATTTTTGTTTTATAAATTGATCTTCTTTTTTCTCCAGACCATGAAAATGCTGCTTCTCTGGCTTATTGCATCTGTCAATTCTCCCTTAAAGGTAGATTGTGTCCTTGAGTAGTGTGTAATGTTCTTTCCTATGATAAAGTTATCTTAGAGGTTTTATTTATTTATTTATTTTGAGGAGGGAGGCAGTGAATACTGTGACAAGTATTCCCAAAGAATTATTTTGAATTTGTTTATGCTTCAGCCCTTGGAGTTTCGTAAATCCTAAGCCAATTTTAATATTAATGTGTTACTTTGGTTTCTTGTAACCATGAAGGTAGTAAAACTTTGGATCCTATACCTCTATATGGCTCAGACTTTGATTTATCATAATTTTTTTCACACAGGTTCCTGGTTACATTAAAAATTTATTGACACTTTCCTAGGCTAGTTGTTGCTTTAAAAAAAATTTTTTTGTAGTTGTAGATGGACAGCATGCCTTTATTTTATTTGTTTCATTTTCATGTGGTACTGAGGATCAAACCCAGTGCCTCACACATGCTAGGCAAGTGCTCTGCCACTGAGCTTCAGCCCCAAGCCCTGGATGGGGTTTCTCCTGGTCCCATTTTCACAAATGGATGGCTTTCCAAAATTCTCAGCCTCTTTATTTTTTGCCAGATGC